CAGCAGAGGCGTTGGCGGTGTGGGTGTCCTCGTCAACACGCACTTGGCCATAAACATCGATTCGTACGAAAGCCTTACGACCCGAATCGGACGTTTGAGATTGAGAAGATGTGGTTCAACTCCTGCTTTGACAATCTTCGTCGCCTACGCACCAACATCCAGCTACGACGAAGAAGAACACGAAGCATTCTATATGGAATTGGAGAAGTTCTACAGGGAAGATCATACCTTCTTCAAGGTCATCGTCGGCGACTTCAACGCCAAGATTGGCCCAAGAAGAACGGCTGAAGAACTTCACATCGGTACTCACGGAATGGAATGGAATGAGCAGGGTGAGAGACTGTCGGAGTTTATCATGTCGACCAACACCATCCATGGTAACTCACAGTTCCAAAAGCCCTCTCACCTTCGTTGGACTTGGGAGTCACCTGATGGACAGTTCCATAACGAGATAGACCACATCATCTTCAATCGAAGGTTTTGCCTGACCGACGTCGCTGTTGTTCCGAAGTTCTACACGGGATCGGACCATCGTCTCCTCCGCGCAAGATTCCACTTCTCGATGCGTGTTGAGAGAGCAGCAAAGTTCAGGAAGCGAAGCCCCAGGACAGTCATCAACTGGGACCACTTCACTTCTCTCGTCATGGGAGGATTCCGTCATCGAAAACATCGACGAGGAGTACTATCGGCTCGTTGAACATCTTCACGATTGTGGCAGGAAGGCAGAGTTTGAAAGTCACCAAGGGACGTCTGTCTCCGGAAACTCTCGAACTGATACGCCAGCGTGGAGCCGCACGAGCTGCAGGCAATCACCGACTCACGTCCGAGCTTGCGAAGCTATGCAGAGAGGCGATAAAGGAAGATCTCAAGGAGCGAAGAGCAGCAGTATTAGCTGAAGCAGCAGAGGCAGGAGCATCCGCAATGCCCGCCGAAGCTTTGCCAGCTACAAGACCAAGATGACCTGCCTCCGACGTCCGGATGGAACAGTTACTGCATCCCGAAGGGCAATGGAGAAAGTCATCCACGACTTCTACTCGGATCTCTTCGATAGCCATGTCCATCTGCCTACTTATCAACTGCAACAGGATGGATACGTCGTCCCTCAGTTCTCTCTTCCGAAGTCCGACACGCCATCAAGTCGGTGAAGAATCGTACAGCACCCGGTCTCGACAGGGTCAAACCGGAACATCTGAAGAATGCACCGCCAGTTATCATCAAAACTCTGGCTCGACTCTTCACGCGCTACCTGTCGGAATGCAAGGTACCCACTCCGTGGAAAACCAGCAGGACCGTGTTGCTGTACAAGAAGGGAGACCTGGACGACATTGGCAACTATCGCCCAATCTGCCTGCTGTCTGTAATCTACAAGCTATTCACTCGAGTCATCCTTAACAGGATCGGCAGAATACTAGATGAAGGACAGCCATGCGAGCAAGCAGGGTTCCGAAGAGGGTTCAGCACGATCGACCATATCCACACGGTTACAAGACTCATTGAAGTTTCACGAGAGTACAAGATGCCGCTTTGTCTCACGTTCATCGACTTGAAGAAGGCCTTCGACTCTGTGGAGACAGAAGCGGTCATCGAAGCCTTGGGCAACCAGGGCGTCCCTACTCAGTACATCAAGATTCTTCGTGAGCTCTACAGCAACTTTACGACCAGAATCTCACCATTCCTACAAAGGAGGTCAATCATTCGACGTCAAGAGACGGCGGTCCGACAGCGGCGACACCCATCTCGTCCAACTCGTTCGGCGCCGCATTCTTCGACAACGTCATGAGGTCCGTTATGGAAATGGGAAAAGACATGGGAGTGAAGGTCGACGGCCGGCAACTACACCACCTTCGTTTTGCTGACGACATCGTTCTTATAACGCCGAACATCGAGCAAGCGGAGCGAATGCTGGCTGATTTCGACTGCGCCTGTGGTAAGGTTGGTCTACAGCTGAACCTAACGAAGACGATGTTTATGAGAAACGGATTGGTTCCTGATGCCCCATTCACGCTCAACGGAACGAACATCACCGAATGCTCCAGCTACGTGTACCTAGGTCGGGAAATCAATATGATGAACGATCTGGTAAAGAATGCTGCTTCATCATCACTCTCATTAGGCTGATCTTACAGTGTCCAGGTTTCAATCTTTAATGCCAGAGTGAAAGAAAGCATATCATACCTTCAACAGTTCGACGTCGATCAGATTGACTTAGTGCTAAACGAAAATGCGGGTGTGCCAAGCATTGTTGGTACTTGTACTCGGAAGTGGGTTTGAGCTGTCCTGAACGGTAAAAGTATAATATTTACTTGAAAAATCAAGAATAAGACTTTCTAGTTGCAAGCAAAAACGAAAAGATATCAAGACACTATCGAAAAAAGAATGAAAAGTAACAAGATAAAGAGGCAATCAAGAACGCACTTTCTAAGCTGATCATAAGTAGTTGCGCGGTATCATCTCATCCATCACCATTGAGTCACGTGATTTTTTGAGCATTCGTGGTGTAGTGCGCATTTGATTCTGTGAAGGCGATTCAAGAAATGACAACGTCCTGGGTTTTCGGTTGCCTGAATCAGGTTCAAAAAACAATACACCATCGTGAACATACTTGAAAAATGACATTAAGCTTATAACTGAACTGTTGCGCAAATAGGGTTGTGGAGGTCGTATGGGTACATATGTCTCCAGGAAGGAAAGGGGGGGGGGGGGGATGAGAGAAAGTCGTTCACTTCCGAAAAGGGTGTTCCACAAGTGAAGTGAACTTGATGCGTTCCCCGCGTTTCCGAAGTCAATATTGGGCGTCGATCTGTCAGGCCTATCTAACAAGGGAAGGATGGTAGGTCGAAGTGGCCGTTCGAAATGAAATGTATACCTCCTGATGCGTCTCCAGACGCTGATTCCAAATCTGCCTTCCAAATCTGCTAAACGGCTCTCCGAACGGAGTTATGAAGCGTAATAGCTCAGTGGTGATGGTCCGGGGTGGCAGGTAAAAGCTCGTAGGATCGGTTCCTTTGCAAGTTTGTTGCTTTGCTTTTGTCCGCAACACTTCTAGAGACAAAAGCAAAGCAACCAATTTGCAAAGGAACCGATCCTACGAGCTTTTACCTGCCACCCCGGACCATCACCACTGAGCTATTACGCTTCATAACTCCGTTCGGAGAGTCGTTTAGCAGATTTGGAAGGCAGATTTGGAATCAGCGTCTGGAGACGCATCAGGTGGTATACATTTCATTTTAACGGCCACTTCGACCTACCATCCTTCCCTTGTAAGTATAAAATGCTGGGTTATTTACACCCACCCACCGGTTCTCGCATAACATTATTTAGGCGAAATCGCATCAAAATGTCACCAGGCTTTTCAACGGAAGTGAAATGCGTGGCGCGTACCGAAGAAGGATTGACATCGCCAAATTTTTTCTATATTTTGTCAAGACCAATACTTGAAGAGAAGACATACCGTCGCTCCCCTCCCGTCGATGGACTACAATCGAATCCCTGGGATTGATCACTCGCCTTTTTGACTGTTGGTAACCCTGAAATCAAATTTTTGTCTCACAATTACGAGAGAGCAATGAGTCGGGAGACCAGCGTTCCATCAATAGAGCCTGCTAAACAAACTCACGCATTGCGATGTGTACATCTGGGCTCGATCATAGTATTCCCACTTGTAACTGTCACTTTCGTTTTCAGTTTCTCGTTTCCCTTCGCCCACATAGGAATCATAGAAGCAGCTTACAAGGAATGATTGTGACTGCTGAAATATATCATATATATGATATATATGAAATATTATATGAAATATTACAAATATATGAAATATTACAATATATGAAATATATAATATATGAGTGATTCCTTGGAAAGGCCTGCCTCGCAATTTCTGCTGTGGTTCAGGAACTTACTTGAGCCATCTTCTTTACCGCATCCAGTACCGTATCGTAGCTGATAGTTTTGAGTGGCGTTGCGTTCTTTGTCATTCGTAGTATCTCCTCAGCTGTGACCAATTTCTGTAACAGATTGCTAGCATAGGCCAGTAGGCGCCACACCGCGCCGTGCATGCGACCACTTTGTGCTGCGCGTGGCGAGGATAATATGAGGGCGGTGTCAGACTTTGCGAATCCGCGGATTGGCTAACAAGTCGCGGGGTATACGCCAGCGGTTCAAACGACGTACCAGCAGTGTGAGAGTGTTTAAGAGTTGCGGGAGCTCCTCTCGTTCGCATGTTCACTCTCGCCACTTTTCACGGCCCACGAGGTCATGACATACCAGATCGAAACGGCACGAGACCGCGAAAGGGGCGTCGAAACTGCGATAGAACGTTGCACTCCCACCATTTTCAAACACTGCTCTGCCGCTGGTACACAGTTCAATCCACTGGCACATCAATCGGTCGGTGGTGCATCGCTCTTGCTCCGCGCGATTCGTTAGCGAATTCGCGGATTCGCATAGTCTGATACCGGCCTAGTACATCTCTCTAAGCGCGTGGCGACAGCTATGGCGCCTAGAGAGTGTACATGATTCAAAGCGAGAAAACATAGTAGGGTAGTCTGCGACTG